AACACGATCAACGCAAACGTCGTTGACGTCGGCATTATTTCAACTTTGCGTAAGAGTCGTAAGAATCGTAAGAAACGTATGAAACGTAAGAAATTCTGATCCTTACGTCGACAGGAAACCAGGCTTTACCTGTGAAAGAATTCACATAGACCTCAGTTAGATGTTGGTTACTCTGTATCAAGCACTTTAATGATGATGAGCTCAATGCCAGAGGCCCAACCTCAACCAGGTCATGTGACTTTCCACAGGTCCTTGGATGTTGAAATTTAATAGGGGCCTACTTTTCTGTGCAGGTAACAGACTTCTGTCACAAATAACATAGCACAGTTTTGTCATCGACACATATGCATTGGCAGAAGGTAGGGTATTTATGGTGTTCAGGGATTTATGGTCAAATTTTATTCATTTATTCTATCTGGTAACATTCCAAAATGATAACTAATGGCAAATGATTGGACTGAATTCAATCAAATTTGATCATTAAGAACAAGTGACACCTAATTCACCCCAGTCTGGAATGAGGGGTCACCCAGGGGTCAAATTTTCAAAAATACCCAATTGAGCTCAAAGTTACCAGAAATGATCTTTAGGACCTCTAAACATAAAAAAAAAATTAAAAATTAAATTGCAGATGATACTTAGTTAGGGAGCTTTCGATTGCACGACGACGGTAGGACGTAGAACGTAATGACGTCAGTAAAATTCATACCCATCAAGAATGTAACGCTAAGAAAGGTTATCAATCCAAGGAGGCAATACTTAGTGTACAGGTAGGTTTTCAATTGTTTTAAAAAAGTTCCTAAAGGGTCATATTCTCAGATGTTAATAGTCAGATTGTTCATAATGCTGGGAGCAGAATAAGGGAAAGGACCTGCAATGAGCAGATTTTGGTGTTTTAGTAATTATACTGTGTTCAGTAATTCAGTTAAAAGAGTAGGTATCAGATTCCGAAAGTCATATGCCACTTTTATTCTTATTAGTTGGTGAAAATCTCTCCTTCCGATAATGTTCGTAAGTTTAGAGTAGTAACTGTGCTGTTTCATTTCCAAATGATAATGTCTGCCTATGCGCATCCTAAATCTCAAACATATGTAATATAAAACAACGATTTATTAATAAAGATGAACGTACAAATGATGCATGTTGATGCCACTTAGACATTTTATTATTATTAATTAATTCATATAAAGTAAGGGCCCCCATTGGAGGCATTCAGTACGCACTATTTGGCAAACCTTGTCCATGGTAGCTAATAGTAAAATATTTTTGGAAATCTTGGCCTCTTGGGACCACGAGTAGGCAGTGCAGCATCAATCAAATTATTCACCACAATAGGTCTATACGGATCAGATATAAACATATTTCTCAACTTGCTCAACTGTCAACGTGAGTGTTAGTTGACTCCAAAGTGGCACTGGAAGTTTTTATTCACGTCCTTGTTATGAACAAAGAACTGTTAATTACTCCATTTTAATCAGGTCCCTCAAGGAATATATTCTCATTTTTACACTTCTTGGGATATGCTCTTGGTGATCACAGCACATCAACACAGGGACGTAGCCAGGAAAGGGGGGGGGGGAGCCGTTATGCGAATTACGTATGACCCCGGCGGGGTCAAGGGGGCGAATCCCCCTGTGAAGTAGCGCAATCTGAACGTTCTTAGGACTGTTTGAGAGGATAAAGTGAAAATTGCAATAGACGCATTATAAATAAGCGCAAAAATAATTATATAATAAATCAACAGTGGCAGATCCAGGAAATCGAAAGAGAGGTGAAACATGGGGGGACTTTCACAGACCGAGGAACCACCCACCGCAGCCCCACCATGGTTGGGGCTGAGGTAAGAAAATTTATGATTAAGGCGTCTCTAGATGGCCGGAAATTACACTCTCGCACTTCAATTTGAATATATTTTTCTTTTTTTTCTTAAAAAATTAAGGGGGAGAGGAGGGAGGGGAATTGAATCCACCTCTGCTCAAAACATTCTTTATCCAGAA